CCTCTCTCTGCCCCTTCTTGGAAAAGGTAGCTCATTGCATTGTTATTGCCAGTTGTTCTAATATTTCACCAAAGTCATACTTCACTCTCAGCCTTTTAGTGTGACTAAACCTTTCCAAACTCCGCTTTCTCCCCTTATCACAGATGCCCTGTCCCACCCTCCCAAGCACCAACACTGAGATACACACAAGACTTCATGCCCCTAAAAGACACCCCCTCATCCAAATGAGTTTTGAGTCTCTTCTTTGTTCCCCACCCCCACCCCCCGCCAAATTTCTGTCTTCTGAGTGGCATGATGGCAGGTGGGGCTGAGAAGAAAACACATCATAAAACTGATTCACGTGAAAGAGGAAAGATTTATAGGCCCTCTGATCCCCCCAGGCTACTCAGAGTTTAGAACAGTCAACACAACTGAACTTCTGATCTATAGGGTTGTATTCTCTGTGGAGAAGACCAGGCTGGGAAAAGGAGTTCATTTCAGTCAGAGATTTTCCAGTTTGCTCCCACATGGGATTGAGTCTGCCCTTGAGACTGTGTCGTTTCAACCAATTCAAGATCCTTTTCTTTTGTACACTCCCTTATTGTTCCAAAAGGGTGCCTTCACTTACTCCTTTCATTCTCTTCCCACAGGCATCATATAGGCAGCTTAGAGATACAGTGTCTCTAGTCGATTCACAAGGGAGCTGACAAATTGTGGCTTGTGATTCCATTAATTCTAAAACTTTTCTTCAGTGTGTGAGAACATATTTCTCCATTGTAACTTTATTTGTGGAAAACCACGTCCTAAATTGTTGTTCTTGGTACCTTCCAGATAGAGTTCTTTGAACTCATTAAAAAATAATAAATAATACTGTTAACAGTTCCATAGATTGGAAGGCTAGTTCTAGGATGAAACTAGGAAAGAACTAGATGCCCAGGGTCTCTAATGCCCCTCCACTTTCTTTTCTCCCCCCACCACGCCCCGAACACCCAGGATGAGTGAGCATTGCCCTCATGATAAATGCAAAACCTTGTCTAAGGGCTTTTTTTTATGCAAATGTATGTGATCCTCATAACAATTAATGAAGTAAATGCTATCCTTGTCCTCACTTTTCCAGAATAGGATACTGAGGCACAAAATGGTCACATAAGCTACCCCGTGTCACATAACTGGTAGGAATGGAATTGAGATTTGAGTGTAGGCAGACTTCAGTCTGGTCTAGAGCCCAGGTATCACTCTGCACTGGCTCAGTGCTCTAAAGCTGTGTCACATGAGTCACTAGCCACAAGTGGCTCTTTAAATTAAGATTAATTAAAATAAAAAGTCATCTTCTCAGTCACTGGTCACATTTCAAATGCTCTATAACCACATGTGGCTAGTGGACAATGGAGAAGTAGAGAATTCCCATCATCATCGAAAGTTCTACTGGACATCACTGCCCCAGAGTGTAGAGTCACAAGTTTTTTATTTCAATTCACTGATGTTCTTTAATACTCTTTCCAACACGTCTGAAATAATGGAGTAGCTAACTACTAGCGTACAATATATGAGCCTATTAGTGAAGGATAATTGCCCATCGTTATTACCTCTTCCAGAAAACATATTTGAATTACAATAAAATGTTAATATGTTCACTCTGAAATGACTGATGGGAGATCACTTCCTACTCTGCTGGTGCATCTGGCCAGGACTGTGAGTGGGATCCAGTTGTGACACTACGTCACTACTCACTTGGGCAGTCAGACATTTCAGATGATGCCTCAACTGGGTCTAACAGAGTCAAGGGTCATAGGCTGTTCCTGCGAGTCCTTCAGAATCGAAGAAGAGACACTCTGAAGTATCATTAATGTTCCAGTCAATATACCACTGACAAAGTATACTGGCTTTGATCATGGCTTATTGCGTTTTTCTATGGCTAATAATTTCAAATTGTATTTTGTATGTGTTTCCAAGTTTGAAACCAAGCGTTATTATGTGCATAGGCGTGTATATGCCTCGCAGCATTTTAAGTAATAATAAAGAGCCGAAAAGAAGCCTTTGAAATCTTTATGCAATCTAAAGGTCAGAAAGAACAGAAGAGAGGCATTGGGAAAAACTATTTATTAGAGACACTAACCATCCTTCACACCATTAATCAAATAAAATTCTAGCTTCCTTTGTCATCTCACTCCCTCCCCTTGGTATTGTTACTTATTTTAATCGGTGATGTCATTAGAAAGGACTGTCTAGTGCTAATGAAATGTCTGTATTTCAGCTTCATTATCCATCATGATGAAACTTTCTTTTAATTTTTTTTCTAACTTATTTAATTTCAGTTTGCATAGGAGTAAACAGACAAATCTGTTAAAGCTTTGACTATCAGAAGGTAATGGTAATTATAATACAAACTATAACTTTTTACATATAGTTTCTTCTGAAATGTCAAAGAAATCTTTGTTTTCCCATATATTCTTTTAAAAAAATTTTTTTAATTATTTATTTTGAGGGAGAGAGAAGCAGAGAGAGAATCCCAAGCGGGCTCCATGTTGTCAGCACAGAGCCTGATGAGGAACTTGAACTCACAAGCTATAAGATCATGTCCCCCCGCCATATATTCTTTCAGTATTAAATGTATTTTGTGGCATTTTATTTATTTTAAACTGGTAACCGAGGTCTCATATGATAATATAACCACATGACTGTCTGACTACGCATGATGATGATTTCCTTCTCCTCTGGTGTTTCTGCAACAAGAGAAAGTTCTCGGGACTGAATTCCGTTGGGTTTCACCATGTGTGTCCCAAGTGCTGTTTGTACTTGACGTCATTCAATCCTTAACACAAGCCAAGAAGTTAAACTGTGTATTTTGGGGGCGCCTGGGTGGCTTAGTCGGTTGAGCGTCCGACTTTCGCTTAGGTCATGATCTCGCGGTTCGTGGGTTCGAGCCCCGCGTCGGGCTCTGTGCTGACTGCCAGCTCAGAGCCTGGAGCCTGTTTCAGTCTGTGACTCCCTCTCTCTCTGACCCTCCCCTGCTCACGCTGTCTTTCTCTCTCTCTCCTAGAAATAAATAAAACATTAAAAAAAAATTTAAAAAAAACTGTTTATTTTGCTCATTTATTGAATAAGAATTTTAAGGCAAATGAAGGTTAAATAAATAGTTCAGAGTCCTGTGACTGATAAGCAAGGGAACCGCAGTTTTAACTTAAATATCCCTGAATCTGCCCTAATAAACACAGGGTGTTAGGAGACTGAGGTGTGGTACCCTGGCCACACACCCGGGGAGGAAGGCGGCTTGTGTACGCAGCACATTTATGGTCCATGACAGCTGGTGTCTGTGTGAATAGTAGAAACAAATCTTAATGGCTGTTAGGAGGAATCACCCACCTTCCGCTGATTGACCATAGGCTTTATGGTCAGGAAACGAAAAGCCTCGGGGTGCTTAGGTGGCTCAGTCAGTTACGTGTCCGACACTTGATCTGGGCTCAGGTCATGATCTCATGGTTTATGAGTCCGAGTCCCATGTCTCACTATGCAGTGTCAGTGTGTGCCTGCTTGGGGTTCTCTTTCTCCCTTTCTATCTGTCCTTGCTCTCTCTCTCTCTCAAAATAAATAAACTTTTAAAAAAAAGTAAGGGGTGGCTGGATAGCTAAGTTGGGCTCAGGTCATTTTCTCATGGTTCGCGAGTTCAAGCCCCAGGTGAGGCGCTGTGCTGACAGCTCAGAGCCTGGAGCCTCCTTCAGGTTCTGTGTGTCTCTCTCTCTGCGCCTCCCCCGCTTATGCTCCGTCCCTCTCTCTCAAACATGAATAAACATTAAAAAAAAAATTTAACGTATAAAAAAACAAATGAAAAGCCCTGAATTTTGTTTGTGGGGTAATTGTTTCCATCTTTGGGCAACTCATGCCATGTAACGTTCCTGGTCTCTTGCCCTTTAATTTGCTTGGCCATAAGTGGAAGTTATCCAGCATTGTTACTATGGCGGGAATCATTCCAGCCTGAAGGTAGACTTCTCTGATGTTGAGATCTGGAAGGAACTACCAGGGCATGCTGGGCTCTCAGCTCCTCTGAGCAGAGAGCCTCTTCGGCAGGAGCGGTTGTCCTGGCCTGCTCCGCAGGCGCTCTGACGAGGACAGCAGGCCAGCCTAAGCCCCGTGTCGCCTTGGCTGGTGCAGTGGGCCTGCTTCCCGGGGGCAGGGTCAGCCAGACCACGTGGTCAGGAGACCTTCCTCCCCGTCCCTCAGGGAGGTCTCTATCAGTAACGAGATCGTACGTGTACAGACTCAGGTGGTGAGGAAGCTTGATAATCCACTTGAGATAATCAAACACTACGTAGTGCTCTTTCACAGCTTGCTTTTTTACATATTTAAATTTTGTAACTTTATCATTCTTTTTTAATAATTTTTAAAATATTTATTCGTTTTGTTAATGTTTTTATTTATTTCTGAGAGAGAGAGAGGCAGTATGAGCAGGGGAGGGGCAGAGAGAGAGGGAGACACAGAATCCGAAGCAGGCTCCAGGCTCTGAGCTGTCAGCACAGAGCCCGACGCGGGGCTCGAACCCACGAACCGCAAGATTGTGACCTGAGCCAAAGTTGGACGCTTAACTGACTGAGCCACTCAGGCGCCCCAATATTTATTCATTTTTGAGAGTGGGAGGGAAAGGGCAGAGAGAGAGGGAGACACAGAATCCAAAGCAGGCTTCAGGCTCTGATCTGTCAGCACAGAGCCCAGTGTGGGGCTTGAACTCACGAACCATGAGATCATGACCTGAACTGAAGTCAGATGCTAACCGAGCCACCTCGGCGCCCCTATCTTTCTTATTCTTAAGAAACGTTCTATAAATAGCTTTAGGGTATGAGATTCCTGTAGGCTTGTAGTTCCTAAGAGGCTTGCATGTGCATCGAGAAGAAATCCCCCAGGGATAAGTACGTGTGGATTTAGGACATTTATTTCCAGTCAAGGGAGATAAACAAGCCGGGTTAAATAGGGAGCTGCAAAACTCATCCATGTGTTCTGGAGTTCGAAGGGCTTACAGTTTGTTCCCACTAAGGAGATTTTGCTTTGGGAGCTGGTGTTGCATAGGGATAAAATATCCACCACTTTCTGCAACACTTTTTATCCTCATTGCATTCACCAATGGTATCATCTGTGGAGGTGCAGCCTCCATCTCTGCACACCCCTTTCAGAAGGACACACTGTTTCTTCCCCGGAATAACGCCTGTCCTTGCTGCACAGACAGAGATTGGATATCATTAAATCACAGTCAAATTATCGGTAATGCACATCAAGCAACACATTTACAGAAGATGGCCTTGGGATAGAAGAGATGGTGTTACCTGTATGAAAAGATGAGGCACTTCTCCAAAAGTGTAGTGCCTTTGGCGGGGAGGAGGGGGGCTAAGGGTGCAGGACTACACATATCTTGGCATGGGTAGGCTGATTTCTAGAAGCTTTGAGAGAGTTGTCCTCATAGGGGGCAGTGCATTTTGAAATGGATCAATTTGTTGGTGTCACCATGACTTGGGAGGCATCCTTGGTATTTAGTGCGTCAAGTACAAGGTTATTGGATTCCCCGCCTAGTGAACTGTCCTGCCCCAAATGCCGATATCTTCAGAAAGAAGCACCATTTCAAAGGAAGGATGCATCTTTCCACGTCCCCATGTGTACTGACCACCCCGTCCATGCTTACGACACCCCTGCCCTGTAGAACGTGTTCTCCCCTCTAGCGCCTCTTACAGAACGTTTGCCACTCCTACAGACCCCACCTCACCTAACTGCCCCACTGCAGGACTATGCAAGAAACACCTTGTCTGTGTTGTTCAGTGCCACTTAGCTGCAGATACGTGAAGAGAATTCCTCTCGAACGCTGAAACATATTCTTCCTTAAATATATGTTTTCCTAATTCAGTTGGCCACTGAGAAGTGTGTGACTAAGTATGTGCTCCAGGAGATTAGCTTCCTTTAGTCGTAGGTCCTTCCTATAGCCTTTCAGGTACAACTAGGGTTCTTTCTTTCCCCTGTGCGTCCTGCTGGATGTTACGTAAAAGACACACTGTTTGTGTTCATTAATAGACGTTGGTCCCTGAACCATCCTGTCAGCCCACCTGCGTCTCATGTTATCTTTCCCAACCTGTAACATACTAACCTTCACTGGCTTCTTCGCTGCCTCACTTCTACCTCTTAACTAAGAGTTTGACCTCCTTTTTAGCTCTGATTATATTTAAACCTGAATATATATACATATGTGTGTGTGTGTGTGTGTGTGTGTATTTGCATGTATTTTTTTATTTTTTAATGTTTTATTTATTTCTGAGAAAGAGAGAGAGAGAGAGACATCATGAGCAAGGGAGGGTCAGAGAGAGAGGGAGACACAGAATCTGAAACAGGCTCCAGGCTCTGAGCTGTCAGCACAGAACCCGACACGGGGCTTGAACCCATGAACCATGAGATCATGACCTGAGCTGAAGTCGGACACTCAACCAACTGAGCCACCCAGGGGCCCCTATATTTGCATTTAAACTAGCCTCTTGTGATTGTTTCTCCATTCGGAAGAAGGATAATAGCCAAATAAAGCAACACAACCTTTTGTAACTGAATTTTTCAGAACCTGTGTGAGACAGTTGTACCCTTGCCACAGGACCTGGTCTGGTGCCAGCTCGTGTCACACCCTGTGCTCAGGCTGGGGTATTAGGCAAAATCTTGTGGCACTGTGTCAGCTTTGCCAGTTCTGGAGGATGAAGTGTCTGTCTTCCAGGGAGAGAACAGAAGTTCTCATCAGATATTTGTACAAGGCATTGGCTTGGCCTCCTCATCTACACAGAGCACAGGTTCGTGCTCAGCTATGCAGTGGTGCTACAGATGGCTAGTCTCTCCTGCGGTGAGTTGTTTTTTTTTTTTTTAATGTTTTATTTATTTCTGAGAGAGAGAAGAGAGGGACAGCGTGAGCAGGGGAGGGTCAGAGAGAGAGGGAGACACAGAATCTGAAACAGGCTCCAGGCTCTGAGCTGTCAGCACAGAGCCCGATCCGGGGCTCAAACCCACGAACTGTGAGATCATGACCTGAGCCGAAGTCGGAGGCTTAACGGACTGAGCCACCCAGGCGCCCCGTCTCCTGTGGTGACTTTATTCGTGCACTCAGTGTAACCTGTCGGGACATAATGAAGCTAAAGTCTAAAGGTCTTGGTATGGGAAGGACATAGTGAGAGGCAGTAGGGTACTCTTGTCACCCATTCTACTGGAAAGTTCAACTTCCTGACACAGTGTGTGGTTTGTGGTAGCACCGGTCTCTCTTCTTGGCAGATCCCACTAGCTTGAATCGAAAGGATCAGAGCAATTCATCCTTCCAGTGATGTGCCCTCCACTAAATATGAAACTTAATTTCAGAAAGTGTCATCTGAACAGGAAGCCAAAGAGTTATAGTCTCCCTTCCAGCATTGACTGACATTCATGACTTCAGTACGCAATTCTCCTCAAAAGAAATTTTATGAGTAAATGTTATTTAGTATTCATTAAATTTCTAAGATTATGAGATTGATTTTAGACAGCCAATAGATTCCAGATCCTTCAAGGTCACAGTAGGGATCAAAATCAGGATTTTGAAGAATGGATACTATTAAATTGCTCAGTTTGGCAGTTAATCATCGATACCAAGAGGCAACCTAGCCAACTAACAAACAAATTCCTTTTCTTTGACCAAAGGGTTCTAGGCTTCATTTCATACTGTGTCTAAGACACATCTCAACTGCAAAAGTAAGGTATTGTGACCCTCCCCTGTATCTTCAATATCCTCCCTTCACAAGAGACCTGGCCATTTGAAAGTTACTCCCTCCTATGCAGACTTAGGGGAGCTTTGTCAAACCCATCCTCTTGGCGTAACTGATTTGGGGGAAACAAAGGAGAGGTGACCTGTGGGAAGGACATGTCATGACTTGAAAGGCATGCCTCTGAAGGAGACTTGTCATGTCTGTGTAGCAGCTGACTCTGCCCCCAACTCCAAATACCCTCCTATCCTTCACCTTTTTTTAAAAATTGTGGTAAGAACACTACACATGAGGCCTACCCTCTTGAGTTTGTAAGCACACAATGCAGTGTTGTGACTATAGGCACAGTGGGGCACCGTGCCGTGCGTCTCCAGAACCTATTCATCTTGTATCACTGAAACTTTGCACCTACTGAACAGCAGTTCCCCACTTCTCCCTTCCCCTGGCTTCTGGCAACTGCTGTTCTACTCTCAATTTCTAGAAGCTGGACTATTTTCGATATCTCATATAAGTGGAATCATGCAATATTTCTCTTCTTTGGTTTATTTCCCTTAGCATAGTGTGCTCCTGGCTCATCCCTCACATCACTGTTGAAGTAAGGTCTGTTGTGCACCCTGCTCACCAGCCCCACATCTATTATCATTGGCCCCAGTGGGTTCTGCCTGTGAATTCTGAGTCCTTCACACCTTCAGGGATGCTCTTTCCTCACCACTTTTGCTGGGTTTGTCTTACACTTTGGAATCCTACCTTAATGAGTGTGGATCTTGGTGCCTAAAGTAGGAACTTGCTCTGGAGAGACTGTAGAAGGGGCCTTATTCAAATTAAAGATGGAGGCCCAAAGGATGACAGAATTTGGGACAGTATAATTTCTCAAGTCCAAGGATGATCATGACCTAGAGAATCCCCACAGAGCAAGAGCAGTCTTATTGACCATTAGATCACAGTAATTATAAGATGGAAAAATTAGGAATTTTGATTTCCTAATTCCTTATGATTGTTCTTTATACATTTTCTCTATTTTCACACAGTTGCTGGTGGTTTCTTGGGCTTAATTCATTGTGTTTGCCTCAAGATAGGATTCTCCCAAGGTTAGAAAAGAGGGAAGCTACTATTAACTTGACACTCCTTCTGCAGGGGAACCAGGAAGAGAGACACTGAGGGCAGGATCACTAAAGTGGTGAAACAAAGGGAAGGTGCGTCAAAGGACATGTCAGGCTTGCAGCCTGCTGAGAACCCATAGATAAGCCTGGTCTGGGTGCATAAGTTGTGAACCCCTGTGCAATTTAGACACTAGTAATTTCTGTTACCCATGTGTAAATTGTGATTGTCTTGCCTTCCTTGCTCGTTCTTAAGATGCGCTCCTTACAGACTCAGTGTTGGTCCCAACTTCACTTGCACATAATTCCATGCAATGCCTGGCACATTTTCTAGTATAAACTAGTGCCCTCGTACAGTGGCCTTCTTGCAGTTCCTTGAGCTCACTACACTTTCTCCTACATCAGGGACGTTGCACCGGCTTCTTCCTTTACCAAGGGTGTTGACTCCTTCTTGCAAGGGATTCATTAACTAACACTTCTCTTTCTCTTTTGGGCGTGCTTCCAGGAAATCTCTGACATTGCAAACAGGACAATGATTACCTCATGTTAGAGGCGCTGGTAATACTCTGCTCCTCTCAATTGTCCTTATTAAAGTTTATAATTATATATTAATTTGCGTAATCATTTGACAAACATCTGTCTTTTATATCATGGGAAGACACTTTCCTTTGTTTCTCACTGTATCCTGGGTGTTTGTGAAATGCACAGTGTTTGCATACTGAGAGGTTCTCAATAAATATTCGTTATCCTTGATTGCAATAAGGTATTCTTTGACCCTACACACACTGTCAAACCTGTTGGCTTTGGTCTATTTTTTTGATTGTCTAGTATCTGCGATGGCCTTACTTTTGGATGTATGATTGTATATGTTGGTATCCAGTCTTGTCATAACTGTATTACCTTCTCTAAATGTTAGGTCTAGATTTCCTAGAATCCCACTTTCCCATAACTTATTTCTTACCTTTGGTCTAGGACAAGCTTTTTCTCAGTTTGCTTTCTGCCCTTGCCATGTCCCTTTTCCCACTAGAATGGTGGCTTTTGGCTAAAATCTACTTCAAGGAGATCTATCCCTCATTAACCTTTTTTTTTTTTTTTTAAACAAGATGCAGCTTATAACATGGGCTATGACTTTGGAAAGAGACAGTGATTTATTGTTGAACTGAATTTAACTCTAGGAGGGGAGGGCAAGCATGAGCAAAACCTGTTCACTCATCAACCGTGCAGGCATAATTCTCTGGTGGCAAATGATTTCAGCTATCTGAGAACTTATAGCCATTTATCAAATTTTAAGAAACACAGATCAGGAAAATCTAAAGACTACCATTAATAGTCCAATAATAATGCCAGAACATTTATCCCATTTGACATGCTTACCTCAGACTCTGAAGGAAATAATTGGGAGGTAAGTGAAATAAGATGTTTCACAGACATTGTGTCTTCTAAAAGAGGCAACCTAGGAGTCTCCTTAGGTTCCTCAGTATTTAGTTAGGAGATTTTGAGATAAAAAGCCCAGCAGAAATCAAGGTTACCATTTTATGGGCTATCCAAACCTGTAGATTGATGGAAACAACACTGACACAGATTAAAGACGGCTCTAGGTGCCAGTTGCCACTATCTGTGTGACCTCAGTAAAATCATATTCTTTATGTGGACACAGATTATGTTATCTGTAAAATTAAAGAATTAACCATTAAATTGCCTTTGGATTTTAATCTATGGTCATTGTGCGATTTTACGTCAGATGTCACTACAAGTGTGTCTCCCTACAGCTGTGTCTTCTTCTGAAAGAACTGAGAACCAGATAAGAATTACATAAACTCCTTCATTTGGAGACAGCTGTATGTCAGGTAGATCCCAAGATATCCACAGTGTAGGCAAAGATCAAACAACTGAGAATCATTGATTATAAAGAATCTTAGAGATGAACCAACAAAGAAAGAGAGTTATCCAGATCTGATCTGCGTTCAGTGACCAGAGACATTATTTTGAGAGTTGTGAATCTCCTATCATTAACAGTAGGGAGTGGAATTTTATCAGTTCTTACAAGGATCTGGTTGAACCAGACTGAAGATGACCACATTGCCCCTTTTACTTTAATTCTACATTTTAGTATTCAAACTTCTGAATCATGGGTCCTAAGGATATAATTCATATTCTTAAGATGCTTTCTTCATATTTTACCTTATGCTTAAAATTTTACCATTGATGTTTTATTCCACTGTTTATGCTTTTTCAAAATTCCCCTGTTCCCTGGGGGTTTTTTTGTTTGTTTGTTTTGTTTTGTTTTGTTTTTTTGTTTTTATTACTTGATACAATCCTTTATTGTGGAGCTCTGTCTTAGGGACCTAACTTCTCCAATAGACTCTACATCACTTCCATTCATTAACCAAATTTGAACGAGTAGTCACTTGCACCTTCCTCTGTGGAGATTGGGGCCCTGGTTAAGGCTACTTGATTTGTTTGCTAAGCCTTAAGTTGTATGTCATAGCCTCTCCACCTTTATCTTTATTTGAGGTGGACTTTCTAACCATGAATCTCTTGGATCCCATTTTCTGTTGATGGAAATCTTCATCCTGCTTTGCAATGTTGGCTTCATCACTTCTAAAGGAAATGATCATGATGGACTTTTCAATTCCTAAGGCTGTGCATTAAGGTCTGAGTTAAAATGGCCACAGTATAATTGAGCATCCCAGCAGACCTCCTAAGAAACCTACAGTTATTCACCATCTTACCTTTTGGTATTATAGTCACAAAGAGGAGGAGAACAGAAAGAAGAGAATGGAGTCTCATGGTGGAATGCCCAGTAGGAAGGTGAATGATCAGGGGTAGTGGAGCACAGGGCCTTTTATTTACTTCTGGAAGACTGAGGTTCCTTGTGGTCAATGAAGCTTAACAGTAACAAAATAAAACAGCTTCCGTTGGAATATTTCCAAACCCCAGAGTCTCTAAATTCGGTGACAAATTAACCTAATGGTAGGAAACCAGATGGTTAGCCCTCTACTTTTTCTTTGGGTTCTCAAATTCCCCAGAGGTGAGTGCCTTTGGCCAATTGTCTTTTGAAGGGGACCAGGAAGTAAGGTCACATGAGTGTAAAGTCTTTATTACCAGAAGTAGTCTGACTTGCAAGAGAACGCTTCTACAACGCACTGTTTTTCACAATAAGGATAAGAGAATTGCCTAAGGATCATTTAAAAATAAAAAAGAAGGGGGCGCTTGGGCAGCTCAGTTGGTTGACTTCAGCTCAGGTCATGATCTCACAGCTTGAGGGTTTGAGCCCCATGCTTGGGATTTTCTCACCTTCTCTCTCTCTGCCCCTATTCTCCTCTCTCTCTCCCTCCTTCTCTCTTCTTCTCTCTCTCTCTCTCTCAAAATTAATGTTAAAAAAAAAAGAAGATGTATTTTTAAGCTATTCCTGAAAGAAGAAACTAATGTCACATATGTATGATGTTCTTAATAGTATCTGGAAGGTAAATAGGCTTAGGTCGCACTGAAAACTAACATTTTCTCCTCTGTTATTAATCCTTTATATAACAGTCCCACATGACAAGGGTGGTGAGATCAGGAGAGTTAAAAATCAAACATAAAGAGTACACTATTTCTTTGATAGCCATTTATTGTCAGAAGATTATATGTGTACAGCTTCAAGAGACTTCCTAACCTCTCATCCTCCCACTGAAAATCTGAGAGCATGCCTTTGACTAAGAATCAACTGACCCAAAACCAAATCATCTAAAGCTAATTTACCTAGTGATCAATGGCTTAATGATACATGTATCTAAATTCATTTATGTTTTCATTTACAAACCTTCATATGTGATATCAGCCTTTTTGAGAAAAATTCTATATACTTTTATATCTTCTGTTTTGGCTACTTTTGGTCATTTTCATGTTTGTTGTTAATGTGTTATTATTTATTTTTAATAACTGATATTTAACATGACTCACTTGAAGATTTGATGCATTTATATGTTGCTATATGATTACCACTATAGTGTTAGATAATATCTCCATCAGGTCACACAATTATCATATCTTTCTTGTGGTGAGAATAGCTAAGATCTAGTCTCTTAGTAACTTTGAAGTTCATAAGACAGCATTATTGACTATAATCACTAACCTGTGCATTAAATCTCCAGAACATAGTTACTAGTTGTAAGTATGTACCCTTGAATAAAATTTCCCCACTTTCCCCAGACTTCAGCCCCTGGCCAACACCATTATAGGTTCTGTTTTTATGAGTTCAACTTTACTTATTTATTTATATATTTTTATTTTTTAAATGTTCATTTATTTTTGAGAGAGAGAAAGAGCATGAGCAGTGGAAGGGCAGAGAGAGAAAGAGACACAGAATCTGAAGCAGGCTCCAGGCTCTGAGCTGTCAGCACAGAGCCTGATGCAGAGCTCGAACTCATGAATCATGAGATCATGACCTGAGCCAAAGTCAGATGCTTAACTAACTCATCCACCCAGGAATCCCTCTTTTTTTTAAATCTTTATTTAATTTGGGAAAGAAAGAGAGAGTGTGTGTATACAAGCAAGGAAGAGGCAGAGAAAGAGGTAGACAGTCCCAAGCAGGCTCCACACTGCCAGTGCAGAGCCCATCACAGAGCTCAATCTCATAAACGGTGAGATCATGACCTGAGCCAAAATCAAGAGTCAGAGGCTCTACTGACTAATCTACCTAGGCACCCCACAAATAGCAGGATTTCACTTTTTCTCATGACTGAATAATATTCCATTGTCTATGTATTATACATACAATGTATATATATATATCACATTTTCTTTATCTGTTTACTGTTGATGGACACTTAGGTTGCTGCTATATCTTGGCTATTATGAAAAATGCTGCAGTAAACATGGAAGTGGAGATATCTCTTCATTTCCTCTGGATATACACCCGGAAGTGGGATTACTGGGTCATATTTGTTTCTATTCTTAACTTTTTGAGGAACCTCCACACTGTTTCCATAGCAGCTGAGCCATTTTCCATTCTGCCAGCAGTAAGGGCTCCCCCTTTTCCCCACATCTTGGCCAATGCTTGTTATCTCTTGTTTGTTTGTTTTTAATTTTTTAATGTTTATTTATTTTTGAGACAGAGAGACACAGAACACTATTAGGGGAGGGGCAGAGAGAGAGGGGATCTGAAGTAGGCTCCGGGCTTTGAGGTGTCAGCAGAGAACTTGATGCAGGGCCTGAACCCACAAATGGTGAGATCATGATGTGAGCCAAAGTCAGATGCTTAAGCGACTGAGCCACCCAGGTGCCCCTTGTTTGTTTGTTTGTTTAAAGTTTATTTATTTTGAGAGAGAGAGAGAGGACACTAGCAGGGGAGGGGCGGGGAGGGGAGTGGGGGGAGAGAGAATCCCAAGCAGGCCCCATGCTGTCAGCATGGTTCCCCATGTGGGACTCAAACTGATGAGCCATCAGTTTGGGAGTTTAGGGAGCTATCCAGATGCCCTACTTGTCTTCTTGATGACAGCTACTGTAATAGGTGGTATGTCATTGTGGTTTTGATTTACATTTCCTGATGATTAGTGATGCTGAGAATCTTTGCATGTACCTGCTGGCCATTTATATGTTTTCTTTGGGAAAAAATGTCTGTTCAGTTCCTCTGCTCACGTTTTCAAGTCAGTTGCTTATATTTTTGTGTTATTGAATTGAATGAGTTCTTGATATATATTTATGTGGATACATATTAACTCCTTATCTGACGTATGGTTTGCAAATATTTCCCCCCATTCCAAAGCTTGCCTTTTTATTTTGTTATTTCTTTTGCTGTATAGAGCTTTGTAGTTTAATGTGGTTCCACTTGTTGATTTTTGCCTTTGTTGCTTGTACTTTTGGTGTCACATCCAAAAAAGGCACTGCCAAGCCAAACGTCAAGGTGCTTTCCCCTGTGTCTTCTTGCAGGAATTTCATAGCATCTGGTATTGTTTGAAGTCTTTAGTCCATTTTGAGGTAATTTTTGAGTGGTGTAAGTTAGGAGTCCAACTTCATTGCTCTCCATGTGGCTGTCCAGTTTTCCCAACATCGTTTGTTGAATTGATTATTATTTCTCCATTATGTGTTCTTGGCTTCTCAAATATTGGTTGACTTTATACACAGGGTTTATGTCTGGACTCTCCCTTCTCTTTCATTAGTCTCTGTGTCTATTTTTTGAAAGTATTTTTTAAATGTTTGCTTATTTTAGAGAGAGAAAAGGATAGAGAATGAGTGGGGGAGGGGCAAAGAGAGAGGACAGAGGATCTGAACCCGGCTCTGTGCTGACAGCAGAGAACCCAATGTGAGGCTTGAACTCATAAACTGTGAGATCATTACCTGAGCCAAAGTTGGATGCTTAACCAGCTAAGCCACCCAGGTGCCCCTCTGTGTATATTTTTTATGCCAAAAGTTTTCAATCATTTTTGGTTTTGATGCTATTGTAAATAGAATCATTTTCTTTTTCAGATAATTTTTGTTGGTGCTTAGAAATGCAACTACTATGTTGATTTCGTATCCTCCAGCTTTACTGAATTTGTTAACTAGATCTAATGGTTTTCCAGCAGAGTCTTCAGGATTTTCCGTATACATAATCACATCATCTGCCAATAGAGATCATTTTACTTGTTCCTTTCCAATCCTTACTGCCTTTTATTTTTTTCTTGCCTGATTGCTCTGGCTAGGGCTTCCAGTACCATGCTGAATGTGAGTGGAGAAAGTGGGTACCCTTGTCTTGTTCCTGATCGTAGGTGGAAAGCTTGCAACCTTTCATCACGGAGTATATTAGCTGTGGGTTTGTCATTTACGGTCTTTATCAGGTTGAGGTACTGTCTATACCTAATTTGTTAAGAGGGTTTTGTTTGTTTGTTTGTTTGGTCATGAATGGATGTAAAATTTTGACAAACACTTTTTCATCTCTTGAGATGATCATATGATTTTCATCTTTCATTCTATTAATTTGATGTGTTACTTCTATTAATTTGCATATCATGAACCATGCCTGCATCACAGGGAGAAATCCCATGTGACTATGGTGGATGATCTTTTTAATGTTCTGCTGAATTCAATTTGCTAGTATTTCTTTAAAATGTTTGCATCTATGTTCACCAGGGACATTGTCCTCTTATATTGTAGTGTTCTTTTCTGGCTTTGATATCAGGGTAATGCTGACCTTGTCAAATGAGTTTGGGAATATTCCCTCTTCCTCAATTTTTTAGAAGAGTTTAAGGAAGGATTGTCATTAATTGTTCTTTAAATGTTTGGTAAAAATCACCAGTAAAGTCAACCGGTTATGGGATTTCTTCATTTGATTACTGACTCAATGTGCTTACTAGTAATTGCTTTGTTAACATTTTCTATTTCTCCCTCATTCAGACTTGGTAGGTTATATGTTTCTAAGAATTTATTCATTTCTCCTAAGCTGTCCAGTTTTTTAGAATATAGTTGTCATAGTAGCCTCTATGATTCTCTTTATTTCTGTATTTCCAGTTGTAATGTCTCCTCTTTCATTTATAATTCTATTGATGGGTTCTCTCTCTCTTTTTCTCCATTTAGTCTAGCTAAAGCTTTGTCAATTTTATCTTTTTAAAGAAGCAACCCTCAGTTCAGTTAATCTTTTATACTGTTTTCCTATTCTCTGTTTCATTTGTCTATGCCCTAGCCTTTATTTTTTCCTTCCTTCTGCTAACTTTGGGCTTAGTTTGTTCTTTTTTTAGTTCCAGGAGGCATGATGTGAGTTCTTTCTTGTTGATTGCTATGAACTTCCTTCTTAGAACTGCTTTTGCCACATTCCATGAGTTTTCTTGTTT